TGGTGACCACGACCTCCTGGGGCTGTATGATGGGGTGTATGACCAGCGAAGGCGAGTGCCTGGGAGACACCACGACGCCACCGGTGCTCCGTCCGGGGTGCGGCGTAATGGTGGTCAGTCCGTTGACGTTGGACAGCGTGGTGGTTCCACCGTAGCTGGATATCGGCGGYGAGTGCAGTGACCCCGAGTTTTGGCTGAGGTCGGGACTGTGCATGGCGTTGGACGCCCCCGAYCGGCCGTTGGGCCCGATCTGCGTGTACGGCGAGTCGTAGCAGCTGTTCGGCGACGACATGCTCTTCTGCGGCGAGTTGAGACCACCTCCGCCGCCGCCGCCGTTTTGACTGTACGACGCGCTTTGTGGTGATATCGGTGAGCCCTGTTGCGGGGGCATATGATGCATGTGTGTGGGCGAATAGTGGTTGGGCGAGTGCATGCCCATCTTGTCGTACGTGTACGGGCTGTTGACCACCATGCCCATACCGCCGATGTTGTTCTGCATGACCGTGAACGATCCAGACACGTTGTTGGAGTGACCGTACACGAACTTGTCGGACATGGTCGATATGGGTGGCAGCGGTTGGAGAGGTGTGAGCGTGGCGTACGACGAGTTGGGGCTGTAACCGGGCGGCGACATCCTGCCGTTGACCGACGTGAGCGTCTGGTAGGTGGGCTCGGGTTGTTGCTGTTGCTGGTGGTGCAGCTGAAGCACGCTGTTGTTACCGGCCCCGGAGCTCCCTCCGCGGTGGTATTCTTGCGACTCGATCATGCCAGCCACGCTGACGGAATGCCTGGGGTTGAGTCTGGACGATCGGTTCGCCCGTTCGTCGTCCGGGTGGTGTACGATCACCGTGATAGTGCTCTCGGGCGGTTTGACGTCCTCGACGATGACGCCACCGGTTCCACCGCCTCCACCGCCACCGCCACAGCCACCTCTGACCACGACCGTACCGCCCACGCCGCGGCGGCTACCGCCACCGTTACTCTCGACCGGCGATCGGTCCGTGTTTTGGAGGTGGTGCTGCTGCTGCTGCAGGTGCGGATGATGTTGGTTCTGATGGTGGTGTTGGTGATGTTGGGTTTGGTGGTGATGATCCTGGTGGTGCTGCTGCTGGTGGTGTTGGTGGCCACGATTGTTTTGGTGGTGCTGCTGGTGGTGGCTATTGTGGTCGTTGTGGTCGTCGTCGTTTTCGTCGTCCAAGTCGTCGTCGTCCAGGTCGTCTTCCGAGTCTTCGTCGTGCTGGACGGGTCTCGAACAACGTGCATGGCAAACGATCCTGCTGGCGGGCTGTGGCCGTGGCACTSGCGTGATGCACAGTTCGCGTGTCGGTGGCGGCTCGGCGACGGGGCACGCGGACTGCCGACCGGCGTCGACGTGCGCCCGCACGTCTTGCGGCGAATCGATTGTCTCGACCACGACTTCGTTGAGCGGCGACTCTGGCGCCATGTTATGAACGTTTTCCATCCGGCGAAGAACGTCCGCTCTCACTCGTTTGCCGGCTCCGCGTGTCTCGCACTGCAGTCGTAGCGCGCTCTCGCACACCACTGTCCCTACCCTCTGTCCTATGTATGTGTGTCTATGTGTGTGTGTGTAGCGTACTCTCACCACGTGTCGTACACTGCGAAGACTGTAATAACATTAATATTGTCAGCGTCGGTGGTCGACCGGTTGTGTCGGTAAGTGCGGGCGCWCACGCACTATTCGGCGGTCCGCCGGTGCCGGAGGAACGACAACAACACTGGTGCGGCGTCCGAAAACATTTCGCGCGCGCTGCCTCTTACGCGGCGTGTGACGATTGTTCCGCGCGCTTCAGATGAGCGTTGTCGTCGTCGTCGTTGTCGTTGTCGTCGTCGTCGTCGTCGTCGTCGTCGACGGTGGTGGCGTTGTCGGCGTGCGCGCGCGCCTTACCGGCGTCGTGTTGGTTGCGCGCGAAATCGGCGGCGACCACTGCCGCGTACCGCTGCTACTGGAAATCCATTGGCAAAATTCATTAAGACCGATCGATGGACGCGAAAACACGATTCCGACGGGATCCGATAACAATTAACGATTCCGCAGCGGTATTGACGGCACGGGACGGGCGCCGCGACTGCCCGCCGTCGGCGGAGACGGGTGCATGTCTCGCCAACCCCGCGCTTACCTTCCCCGCGCCGCCGWTCGTTCGCGATCGCGTTCGACTCGCCTTGTCCGTAACGCGCGCGCGACGACAACACTAACAACAGACAACTTCCGACGTGAAATATCAGAGCGTCTCGTCACTGTCGTGATGCGTAAAACAGCGGACGAACTTGATTTGCAGCGACGATATTATCGTTTGTTTTTATGATCGACGCGAAACGTTTGGACGTGGAACTGATGTGTCGYGTCCGTATCGGCAGTATCGGGGTATCGAGCGCGGTTCGACCGTGACACACTGAGTAGCTGCACGCGTGAGCCCACCGACCGCTTCGATCGGACGATGGATCGCTTTTGAAGCGTGTTATCGTATTACGGATTCGGGCGCTTTATCGTMTTTTATTCGGGTTCGTTAGAGATTTGACGCGCGAGCATGCGACTTCGTGGTGTGCATGCGGCGGACGCGACGCGCGGACAACGTCGGGTCTCGTATTATATTATTATGATAATATAATACGTCGCGTTATTATTATTACTATTTTTTTCCTCTACTGTTTTCCGGGGGCTTTTTTTTCTTTTCCCTATACAGTTTTGCCACCCTCCCACCGCCGAACGCCACGTCCCCTAAACAGTTCGCTTTTGCGGCGAAAGCGCGCCGGGCGGCTTGGGCCGGAGTTACGCGGCACTACACGCCGAACAATATATTGATCCGTTTCGGTGGGTAATTGAGCGCCGACGAAAAACCGAGTCGGCGGATAGTCGCCGCGGATCGTGGGTGGATGAGAAGGGTGGCGCGAAACACCCTCCTGTCGACACCGGCCGTACACTGTACACCGACAATGGCGCGTGCGCCTAAGTGCGTCGTGTATGTGGGTACACACGCGATGGGGTGACGGCGGCGGTGAGGGGAACACGCGCGTCGTTCACCCTATCGCCGTGTGTGCAGCTGGACACGCGGGGCGACCGACACACCGCACACACACACACACACACACACACTCTTACACGATTTTATAATACTCGCGCGGAGGGTTGGCCGTCGTAATATTATACACGCGAATATTATCATGCTGTGCGTGTGAGTGCGTGTGCTGGCGGTGCAGTGGCGAGTCATAGTCCCCCATAGTCACACGCACGCACGCACGCACGCCCGTCCACGCGCGATAAACATGAAATAATAAATATTACGTGCGGCGAAAAAACCGTATACCTACGCTGGGCCGCCGCCGCGATAATGTATTATATGAAATCGAAGTTCGCCAGCCGATATAACCCAACCGCGCGTCGCCGCCCGAAGCGTGTTACGCGTGCGGGCGGCGCGCGCGCGTGCGCCCGTCATGCGGAGGGTGGCGGTCTGTGTGTGCGTGTGCGTGTGTGTGTGTGTGTGTGTGTGTGTGTGGTGACCACGACCTCCTGGGGCTGTATGATGGGGTGTATGACCAGCGAAGGCGAGTGCCTGGGAGACACCACGACGCCACCGGTGCTCCGTCC